TCAGTCAACAGAAGAAGTGGTGATGTAAATGACTGATGCGAGGCTTGCATGAGGATATGGCACACAGATGCTATCAGTATCCGTTGTTTGAGAGATGCTGATGCTGTACGAGGTTTGTCAAAGATGCTTTGCATAAACTCATGGAGGACTTGAGGAATTTGGTGTTCAAGAGTATCGATGTCAACTTCAGATGGCTCAGGATACCTTTCAGAGTCAGTCGTTACATTTTTTATTAGATCCTTAATTGTTCTTCCCAGATCCTTTGCTGTCTTAATGTCTTGGTCAGCTAATGTATGAAATGCATCATGGTATGACTCAGACAATATTGAACTTGCCTGATGTTTAAGTGTAACAATATCTGGTCTTCCATCAACTTCTGCGATAGTAACATCAGTTCCAAGTTCTTTTATAAGTTTTCGCTTGAAGTGTTTAACACTGGTGGAAGGTGACTTGCATACTGATCTAGTAGGTCTTGAACCATAGACTGTTTCCCATGCTCCATCATTACTGGGAGCTCCTCACACCATGACTTGAAAGTCTTGTCCTGGATATTCATTCCTACCTGACTCCTGAGAGGTGATGTTCATCTTCCTATCGTGCTGAGACATGAAGGACTGCATACAATGTCTGTGATATGTTGCCTCAGCTGCTCGGATGTCTCCTGCGACAATGATGCGGGCTTTAATATCAGCTGCCTGGTCATCAGTTCTTTCAATACAAATAGACAGAAGTGTTTCCTGTAGTAAGCTTTTCTTTTCAGAACCAATAATCTCAACATGGCTTATGCCGGAATGTCTGCTTCTATGTTTTTGTAGATCATCAAAGTCAATCTTATTGGTACAAATGATGCAATGAGTCTTAAAATCAAAATCAGTTCCATCAGATCTGACAGACCTCAGAACACACAGCTGTATATTATCTGTGTTGCTCATCTGGGCCATTAGTACATTAAATGCTGAGGTGTAGGCCTTGCGGCATTTTTCATGAACATATTTGCTGTCTTCTGATCCAAGCGTTACAAATAGCGAATCATTGCGTTGTGCTGAAACTTTTAGGAAAGAGTTGAACCCCTTGTCTCCCAGTTTCACCTCACCAGCACTTCCTTGACAGATCACACAACTCATGTCTGTAACTGCATGGCTGAAAGTAAGGAGAAAAATTGTTAAGAAAAGCAGAAAAGAAATAAATACCAAGTTAATATTTTAATAAAATGATCAGATTTCTTATCATTGGAATGTAAGTCATCAGAAATATAGAACTATTTTTTTTTCACATTAAATTTTTAAAATTAAAGTAGATCTTTGTTTCCCTATAGACATGTGAATATATTGGCTGACTTACTTTCAGCAGAACTTTGAGCCAAAATGTTAAATCTCCTCTCTCCCAGTTACACCTAACCAGCACCTCTTCAACAGATGATGCAAGTCATGTCTGTAACTGCATGACTGAAAGTAAAGAAAACAATTGTTAAGCAGCTCAGTTTAAAATAATGAAATACCAAGTCAGGTTTTAAAAAGGTAAATTCTACATGTAAAGAAATTTAACAAAAATTCAAATAAGAAAGATAGACACAAGAAATTGTGAAGATGTTTTGGGTTTCCCCGTCAATATATGAATATATTGAAAAACTTACATTAAGCAGAAAAATTCAGCAAAGACTTGAATTTCTTCAGACTCTCTAACTTTCACCTCAAAAGCACCAAGCTGATTACACAATTAACTGCATGGCTGAAAGTGAAGAAGGATATTGATAACCAGAAGTAAATAAGTAATATGTTTGAATTAAATTCTACATTTAGAGAAATTTATCAAAATTCTTAATATGTAAAGGATCCACATCTTCTATATTTCACTAACTGCAATGGAAAGAAAATTGTGTACTGTTGTTTCAGGTGTGCACTAAGATTAGAAGAATTGAACACAACTACAAGTATATCCATGTCGAGTCGTTGAAGATGCTATACATAAAGCAATATAAGTCCCTAGAGAAACACTTATAAAAACAAAAGAAACACATACAGAGACAGACATTCTTACATTTGTTTACACCTACAATCCTACTAATTGTACAATTATGCCCATTACAAGAGCAAATCTTGCAAATTTGCATACAAGTGATACCATGAAAATGGTTATCTAAAAGTAAACTTATGCACAGCACTAGGCAGCCTAAAATGTAAAACAAATCCTTTGTACAGCTAAATATATTCAAAAGACACAAATCCTTTCAGCATTACAATATGCCACACACCTCAATGTGGAACTTGCTCAATTATAACTGAAGACTGCAATGGTAAGTTTTTTAAAGACAATCTATTTACTGTCAAAAACAACATGAACTGCCGCAGCAAAGATGTAATATGTTTTAACATGTGTAGGATGTGATGTGTTAGAGAAACTGGTATGTAGCTAAAAGACTGTTTCACTGTACACGCACAGCACATTCGAGGTCCAAATGTGCTATGTACTAATGGCAGCAAATATAGCTTACTGTCTTTCCATTTAATAAATTGTGTAACAATGATAAACAGCTACAGATGGAAATACAGAACAAATGTTCATACAACTTTAAAGCCTAAGCTTAATCCAAAAGTATAAGTTTTAACCTTCCCAATGTGGCTCAGAATGTATTAGTGCACTGAAACCATACTGTATTTACGCCTAACACAATGATGTCAAATACATGATGATGTCAGAAACAATGTCTCTGTCACCTGAGATTATGTTTTATGTCTCCCTGTATTGTAACGTCATGTGCATGATGATACTAACGTTATGCATTGCCCATGACTCACTCACACACACACACACACGCTCGTGCACACGCACGCATCGATATGCTAAAACTACATCCAGCTACCATTGTTATAAGTTGTAGACAGCTTTGCTATCACCTTTACTTTGTATTGGTGACGCAGACATCCTACCATCAAAAAGTGCCAGGAATCTTGGTGTCATCCTCGATTCCAACATGTCCATGTTGATGCACACATCACCTCCATCAGTAGAGCCTGCTACAACAACATCTATAATATCGGCAAAGTCCGCCACTACCTAGATACTGACACCTGTAAACTTCTGATGCACTGTCTTGTCACTTCCAAACTCGACTACTGTAATTCACTATATGCCAACCTCTCTACTAAATCACTCCAGAAACTACAAAGAATCCAAAATTGTGCTGCCAGATGTATCACCCACACTCATCGTCATGACCATATCACCTCACTACTACAGTCTCTACACTGGCTCCCCATCTCTGCAAGAATTACCCTCAAAGCCCTCATTCTGACTCATGACTGCCTCTACAATGATAACTTTCCCGACTTTCTCAAACATCTCATCTCCGTGTATGTACCTCAGCGAAGTCTCCGATCCTCCTCTGACTCTCTCCTCACCCAACACAGATCTCCAAACTAACTGTCTGACCGAGCCTTCTCCTTTGCCAGCCCTAAACTGTGGAACTCTCTTCCAAAGGAAATCAGGAACACTTCATCGAAAGAAACTTTTAAATCTCTGCTAAAGACCCATCTATTCACTGCTGCCTTTCTGTATGTGTAATATAAACTATTTCTTTCCCCAATATTGTCACAGCGCCACTAAGCATCTCTATGGTGGACATTAGGCGTTTTATAAATACATTAGGGGGCGGTGGTTAAAGCGTTGGCTCATCACGCCAAAGACGGGTTCGATTCCCCACATGGGTTCAATGTGTGAAGCTTATTTCTGGTGTCCCCGTGCCGTGATATTGCTGGAATATTGCTAAAAGTGGCGTAAAACCACACTCAATCACTCACTCACTATAAATACATTATTATGTTTTACAGATTAAAGATAATATGCAGCAGAGAGGGTTTGAGTGATCCTGGCACAGTCAGGCTGGTAAGTCTCATCATCAGCTCAGGGCCCTTGCCCCCTCTACACGCAGTCAAGACAGCGAATGGGACTTCTCCCAGGAAACACTGCCTAGTCGAACCCACCGAGCACTGTCCGGAGAATATGAAGACTCCCCAACACTGCAGCCTTCTGCATTACCCAGAGTGTCAGAAGGGCTGTGCTCCCCTTGGAGAACCCGGGCACTCACCTGATCTTGCGCCAAGAGATCAGGAGGTACCAAACCAAGGGCACCGAGGACTATGGGGAGTCTGACGATAGTGTACTTGGGATGCAAGCGAGACATTTCAAAGGCCAGGTCTGCATGTTTATCATGCTTTTCCTGAATCTTGCCAATCACGCTGCTGTCAAAAAGGGACAGTAAATTCAATGATATAAATAAATTCATTAGTTTTATCAAAAATGACAAGATCAGGTTTGTTGGCTGGAATTCTTCTGAGGCTGTATATTGGCCTATTCCACAGAAGTTCGAAAGCATCATTTTTCATGAGGCCCTAGATATGTTCAGGGTCGTACCATGGGTGGACCTCGGAGTCAAAGCCACATGCATGGCGAAGACAATAGTAAAAGCAAAGGCCCATGCCATCATGTCATTTGCTTTTATTCATCGATTATCAGGTCATCCTGTCGCTTTCGCACACTCAAGTAGTGTTGATTTTAGATGGTTTGACCAAGATATTCTTGGTTGGGTTCTGTGCCTTCCCCTTGGGCAAGTCCCATCTCCAGTAAGGTTGGTTTGACTACTGGAGGAAGGCTGACTGGGCTGCGGAAGTGAAAGATTGTACAGTCAAGTCGCGTTAATCCGACCTCCGTTTATCTGACAATCGGCTTTATCCGACTCTTTTGTCGGTAACAAATTGAATCAACGCTATTTAGTCTCGTTAATCCGGGAGTCCCGTGTCCGACTCCGACAGACCCAATTAACAACCGACTGTCGTAATCATACAGTAATTGGTCCCGTTAATCCGACACTGTGTGATCAATTAACCATGAATACACTGACACGTGTCACTCAAGATAACGAAAGTGAGTTACACAATGCTCAAGGTAAGTACATGTACATGCATAAAGATAATGAAAATGACTTACCTAACACAGGCGGCAAAATGTCTTGTTCAACACCAAGTAAGCGTGCGAGAGTAGAGTTAACGCCACAGACCAAGAAGGACATTTGCCTCTTCAAGCAAAGTAAACCTAAAGTGACACAAGGTGAAGTAATCACTTATGCAGTTGAGAAGTTCGGGTTGAAGATCGGCAGATCGACGGTATCAGATATGCTGAAAGATTCAACAAAATGGTTGGCTGTTCCATCAAGCGTCACGTCCACATCAAGAAACAGAAAACCAAAACAAGAGGAGCTGGAGAATGCCTTGTTTCTGTGGTTTACGGATGTAAGATCAAGAGATGTGATGCTGAATGATGAACTGTTGAAAACACAGGCGAAAGAGTTGGGCGATCGGTTAGGTGTACTCGATTTTTCATACAGTACTGGCTGGCTGAATCGTTTTAAACAGAGGCATGGGATAAGAAATCACAAAGGTCATGGTGAATCTGCTTCTGTTTCTTTAGAAACAGTTAGAGAAGGCAGGCAATCTATTCAGGTAGTCCTCGCTGATTTCAATCCTTGTGACATTTTCAACTGTGATGAGACAGGCTTATTTTACAAGATTGAGCCAAATTCAACATTGTGCACTGCTCCGGTTTCTGGCAAGAAACAGTCTAAAGATCGTTTGACAGTAATGCTGACAGTAAATGCAATTGGCACGGAAAAACTGAAACCACTAGTGATTCATAAATTCAATCGGCCGAGATGTTTTGGAAGAACATTTGACCCCACGTCTGTTTGCCACTGGTACATAAATAAGAGAGCATGGATGACATCCTTAATTTTCCAGGATTTGCTGGTGAACTTTGACCGACAAATGCGCATGCAGAGATGTCACGTGATCCTGCTGTTGGACAATGCCCCCTCCCATGCTACTTGCCAGTTAACTTATGTCACATGTCATTTTCTGCCGCCTAATACCACTTCACACATCCAACCTATCGATGCTGGGATCATAAAAAATTTCAAACTCATGTACAAGAAACAACAAATGAAACTCTATTTGGACAATTCTCAAAATGAAACTCCGCAATCTCTGGGTGTGAAGCGAGCCCTGCTCTTTATCCGAACAGCCTGGAACGAAGTCAAACAACAGACCGTTATCAACTGCTGGCGCCACACACAAATTCTGCCGTCAACTGAACCAGTGACCACGGATCTTGTCATCGATGTAGAGGAGACGATTGCCGAAATTTCAACAGCTGTGATTAAAGTGTATGGACCAAACAAGTCAACTGGAGATTTCATCAATGTAGACAGCGATCTTCCATGTGAAGAATCATAATCTGATGAATCGATCATTGACATGGTGCGGAAGACCGAAAACAGTGAACCCACTGAGGATGAGAGTGATGACAGTGAAGAACCCACCATTCCAAAGGCTTCTACTGTCAAATCTCATTTGACCGAGATTGCATGCTTTGTTCAGAACCATCTGGACACGTTCAGCGTGGCTGATCTTGATGCGCTTGAAAATATTCAACAAACTCTCAGGAAACTCACGAGCAAGGCTGAATGTCAGAAAAGCATCAAAGACTTTTTTGTTAGGAAAACAGTGTACTGTACATGTATCATACAGGCTCCGTCATAGGTTTACGGAAGCGTGTACATGAATGTGAAACATGTGAGTAAATGGTTTTATTCGTAAAATTTATACATGTGGTTGATATTACAAATGAGGTTTATAAATGTTGTGCATTTTTATGTTATGTGATAATAAAATATATGAACTCTGAATTAATTTTCGTTTTAGTATTATTTACAGTAACCTCGGGAATATGAATCACGATTGTCCTGTTTTCGATCATGGACGTGATCTGTCCTCCGAATTCGATAATCCGACATCCTCGATAATCCGACAATTTGCTGTGCAACGGACGATGTCGGATTAACGCGACTTGACTGTACTCTTCTTGGCTGTTAGTAACCCAGTGAAAAAACAGCTTCTAAATATTATGTTGTACAAATTAAAGACAGTATGCAGCAGAGAGGGTTCGGGGGATCCTGGCACACGAACGCAACATTTGGTGAACTGTCGCCAAAATACAGCACCTTGAAATAAAACTGGTAGAAATTGCATGGAGAAAAAACTGTAAGCATGTTGCACGTGCAAATACGGGTACTAAAACTTCATACCGGTGGGTATAATAATCTGACAGTCCCGTTGCGATTCACTCAAATCATCTCCCCGCTGTGGCAGCGCTACAGACTACTTCATCTGGGTGTTGCATCTGCGCAACCGGACAAACCAACAATGTTCCTGGGCTTCGTAGAGTATCAGCACAAACCATCAGATATCGCCTACGACAGCATGGGATACGACCAGTGCATCATTATCTTCATGCACACGTCTGCAATGGAGCAGAAACGTTCGACCTTGAACCCTAGTGCACTGGAGGAAGATCTGGTTCAGTGATGAGTCACGGTTCTTGCTGTATCACCATGATGGTAGGAAGCGTGTCTACAGACGGAGTAGTATATACAATGATGGTACTGGACCAGCCCCCAGCCCCCCCCCCCCCAAGGGCTCAATTTAAAAGATTTAACCCTTGAGGAGTCCCTAATCTCGAACACCATTGCTTATACTACTTCTGAGTTGCATGCAACATTTCACGAAAATCGGTCGGATAGTTTAGGAGATGCTGACTTTTAAGTGAGCATCGGGAAAAATCAAGGCCTTTGATTCACACACACGCACAATGATGACAATTATTATACAGTGGGCGATCGAAAAGGGACTGTGTCGTGAGGTACGATCATCAACTCCTCTCTGACGAATGCTCTCGGTGGACCGTCTTTCAAGTAGTAGAAGTTCGGTTCGCGTCTTTGATGTCGACCAGGTCGACATTGTACGTTTTCATGGACCATATCGGATCGGTGGTGCGTTTTCTGCTGTCTCCCTCGTATTCTCCCAGCTGGTACAAGTACCTAACGCTGACCCGGTCCGGTAATGTTTTCTTCGTTTTATTGTGACGTGTCGCTGACGATGATTCGACAGATTTCATTTTGATGGTTTCGACGGGTCTCTTGCCCACGAGTCTGGTGACTTCGTTGTTGATGGCATCCACCACTTGAGGTAAGCGTACGACCCATTCCGTGTTTCCGTTTTTGGGATCCATTAAATCCCGCGAGCACTGGTTCGAGAACAGGCGTTCGGCTAAGGTGCGATTGAATCTCTCGACTATGGCTTGGCTTCGGTGAGCTCCCGCTATACCTCGTTTCACTTGGACTTTGTGCTTGGCCAGCAGCTGCGACACGGCTCCCATGAACTCGCGTCCGGGATCGACTTGCAATATGGTAGGCCAGGTCAAACAACTGCATTTGTAGATGCGTTCAAAGGCTTTGGCGACTTCGTTCGACAACGGTCAGTGTGTACTTGTAGGTTTTGTGCCTCACCCTGTCGTGAGGGAGAAACAGAAGGTCGGCTTGGTGAACGCGATTTGGCGTTGAAATGTCAAATTTTCTTCTTGGGATTTCGAGGCACCGGCATTTAGACTTGCCAGATGGCTTGTTTTTTAAGCCAAGCTTTGGCAATGTCTTCCGAGACTCAAGCGGCTTTTGCGAGTTTCGGGATGGCATCCGCGCCTTTCCAGTACCCACGTGGGCTGTAATAAATTTTCTCCATGATGTATGTACGTATGTGTGTGAGCGTTCAATTATTCGATGTGCCCATCCATCGTTTCGTGTCCATGGGAGACAGCGAGGTCTTGTTGATTCTCAGTCCGTATATCCTGTGTCCGTCGCTTCTCAGCATGTTCATTTGGTGTTGAACAGGGCTTCTTTGAAGCTGGCGTGTTTGATGTGTTGTTTCACCACGTATTTCTTGACCCCCTTCGCTTTTCTGATTTCATTATCGTCTGCTTTCAGGATGGAATACATTTGGGTCTCAATTCCGCGATCGGCGTGCCGGCGCATTCGTCCTTCATCTTGCTGAGCACTTTTTTTGTTGACTTGGCTGTGCATCGGGTGGCCCTTGGGGTAGTCGCTGGAGTCGTACAGGTGTATTTTTTCCTTCATGTCCTCGTACACGTTCGAATTTCCATCAGCAGGGAATCTGTGTCCGTGTACAGCACTTCACACCTGTCGCCGTACTGTTTCTTCAGTTTGTTGTAATAAAAGTCGTACATCAGGTGTTTGGATAAGTCGAGGATGCTCATCCCCACGTAAACAGGCCGGTTGAATTTGATTTGACTTTTTCTCATGTGCAACGCTACCAGATCGTCGCTGAATATTTTGCTCCGGTTGAATGCTGGGCTGGCTATCAGTTTCCTGAGTTTTTCTTCCTCTTTCGATCGGACTAGCATTCACGATCACGCGTTTTCTCAAATTCTCCATCGTCTTACCGAACACCGAAGTTGTTCATGAGCTTGTACAGGTTTTTCTCGAAATCACTGGTGACCAGCTTTCGCAGGTCCGTGTTCATGCTAATGTAGGGTTCCAACCACGGACTTTGGTCGAACTAAAGCACCCTATGAATTTTCGTAAGCCTCATTCCCAGCGACAGGTACAGCTGCAGGTTGCGATAGTGAACGATATATTTTTTCTTGTTCATCAAGTTGGGTACGAGTTTTTCGACGTTGGCCGGCTTATTTTTCCCCAGCAAAGTTTGTTGATATTCGGACATGCAATCTGGGTTAACTGTCAAACGTTCGGGCGCGAGTGGATAGCTGTTGTGTGATTTGTGTAATTCCACGCGATATTCCAAGTCCACTTCGAGTATGTAGCCTTTTTTCAAATCTGACACGATGCGCATGACGTCGATCATCTCGGATGTCCATTTGAATCCCCCGGTGGGTAGATACTGGCTCATGGCCCAGCCGTACAGGTTGTTGGCGTCGAGATAGAGGATATGGGTGGTAGGTTGATTCGGATTATAGCCCTTCACATACTTGTTGTTGGCTTTTGCGTAGCGTTTGGAGGCCATGGTTCTTAGATGAACAGGTGCATATCGTAATCCGTCAATAGTTTGAGTTTCACACCAGTCTTTTTCAACAAGGCATCCCAAGAGAGACCCGGGGAGGAGAAATACCACGCAGGGTCTAGGACGTACTGTTTCGAGGCTGTTTTTCTAAATATCTCGAACACATTTTTCCATGTTGTTGGGGATGCATGTCAGGTTGCCGTCGACCTTCGCGATGGCCTGCATGATCAAGTGAGAGTCGTACCCTCTCAAATTGTGAAACACGAAGGGGATTTGGATGGTTTGGGGATTGATTTTGAGTTTGAGGTTACATGCGTTGTGAGCGGCGCCTCTGTACTCGCCGGTGACGTGGCACTGATCTCTCACCGAATCGCCGTTCAGCGGTTCGTCGCACAGTCGCACACGTGGCAGTGAGTGCTGCAGCCGTGAGCTCGCCGGTCGGCATGGGGGCGGTGGTATACAGCCTTTTCCTGATGGTTTTCTCTTCCTGTTGCAAGAACGTGAGAAACTTTTCAGCCACGTCGGGACCTCTGTACACCACAGGAGTGTTCATTTGTCCGTCGCATTGAATGACCACGTAACCGAACCCGCAGGCCTCGTGCTCCTGTGTTTTGTGTGTGAAACTTTTGTCCGGGGACGACGGAGCGATGGTGTCGACGTTTTTGATGAGGGCTTCGAAGTCGGCATAGATGATGTAAGGCACGGGCATTTGATTTTTGTGGTTGGAGAATTTTTAGATGATGTCGCCTTCCTTGGGCATGTCGATTCGTATGGCCGTCTGTCCCACGCCTAGGCTATCCTCCCGGTGTGATTCCAGCAGGTCGGCCCGGGTGAAGCTGTGCCAGCATCGTTCGCAAAAGTGTTTTTTCCTGGCGTGCTTCGATTGATCGTACAACAGTCTGCTGAAACTTTTAATCGTTGGGTAGTGATACTTGTCCTTTTTTTCGATCAGAAATAAATTGGTCCTTCGCACGGTTTTATCTAGGTGGGGCTTATCCTGTGCACAATAGTTGTGTTCCCTTCGTGTCCGAAGACGTTAATAGCCAGGTGGTTTTGTTTTTCCACTCGAGCGATTTGTGAGATGGGAGTAGGCATCTCTATCCACGTAAAGTCGAGGCCGGATTCCTCGATGGAGGGATAGCTGGAAGTCTGTCTGTATGTGAGGTAGCCGGATGCAAAGTCGGCTATGATCGCCACCGGGTAAACAGTCATCACCTCTGTTTTTGATGTTGACCATGGCATGATTTTTCTTGTAGTAGGGGGGTAAGTCCAGGTACTGTGAGAGGGTAGGGGGTTCGTCGGCGAGAGGTTCGAGTCGTTTGCCGGTTAGCAGGTAGTATTCTTTCGCGGCGGTGTCGACATCC